CCAAAAAAAAAAAAAAAAAAGAATGTTGGACTCCCCCATGGCTGACCACGGTTCAAGTCCCAAGCCTGGCAGTTTGCTTTCTCTGTCTCTCTCTGGTCAAATTATACATAAATAAATAAAGTCAAATAAAATAATTCTTTACTTAAAAAAGAGTCATGCGATGAAATGTAATACTAAAAAATTATTTAAAAAAATAAAAAGAAAGAGAGAGAGAGAGTGAGAAAGCAAGCTGCCAGGTCCAGGACTCGAACCATGGTCAGCCTTGTGGGAGTGCAGTGCCTTAATACCATGCCACCTGCTAGTCCCACCGCCTGCCAGACCTGAGGATGCCCCTGCCCTTGGCCCCACTCACCTGCGGACTGTGTTTCTCCCACAGGGCGGGGATGAGCCTCTGCACTGTCTGGTACTCGACCGGAATCTCGTACACGTGGAGGTCCACGCTGTCTCCGAGGCCCAGCTTCTCCAGCTCCTGGGGGGGACGAAGAGAGGGTGTGTCGAGGGAGGGCTGCAGGGGGAGGGCTGCAGGGGGAACACGCTCCCCGGGGAACACTCAGCCATCCTCAGGAAACAGGCCAGGGGCCAGGAGGGGGCGTGGTGGTTAAGGGCACTGGACTCCCACATGACCGACTGCGGTTCAAGTCCCGAACCTGGCAGCTTGCTTTCGCACTTCCCCTCTCTCACTCTGTCCCTCTCTGGTCACATTAAAATGAATAAAATTGGGGGCCAGCAGGTGACATGGTGGTTAAGGGTGCTGGACTCCCACGTAGCTGACTGTGGTTCAAGTCCTGGACTTGGCAGCTTGCTTTCTCACTTTCCCTCTCTCTCTCTCTCTCTGTCCCTCTCTGGTCAAATTAAAATAAATAAAGTTCAATCAAATAATTCTTTGAAAAAGAAAAAACCCCACCAGGTGTGTGTGCGCGCACAAGAACCCTATGGAATTGGAAGTGGAAGAAAAGGTATTGTAGCAACCAGCAGTTAGCGTCATGGCTATGTCGCTGGACTCCCATGTAGTCGACCGCAATTCGAGTCCCAGACCCCCAAAAAAAAAAAAAAAAAAGAATGTTGGACTCCCCCATGGCTGACCACGGTTCAAGTCCCAAGCCTGGCAGTTTGCTTTCTCTGTCTCTCTCTGGTCAAATTATACATAAATAAATAAAGTCAAATAAAATAATTCTTTACTTAAAAAAGAGTCATGCGATGAAATGTAATACTAAAAAATTATTTAAAAAAATAAAAAGAAAGAGAGAGAGAGAGTGAGAAAGCAAGCTGCCAGGTCCAGGACTCGAACCATGGTCAGCCTTGTGGGAGTGCAGTGCCTTAATACCATGCCACCTGCTAGTCCCACCGCCTGCCAGACCTGAGGATGCCCCTGCCCTTGGCCCCACTCACCTGCGGACTGTGTTTCTCCCACAGGGCGGGGATGAGCCTCTGCACTGTCTGGTACTCGACCGGAATCTCGTACACGTGGAGGTCCACGCTGTCTCCGAGGCCCAGCTTCTCCAGCTCCTGGGGGGGACGAAGAGAGGGTGTGTCGAGGGAGGGCTGCAGGGGGAGGGCTGCAGGGGGAACACGCTCCCCGGGGAACACTCAGCCATCCTCAGGAAACAGGCCAGGGGCCAGGAGGGGGCGTGGTGGTTAAGGGCACTGGACTCCCACATGACCGACTGCGGTTCAAGTCCCGAACCTGGCAGCTTGCTTTCGCACTTCCCCTCTCTCACTCTGTCCCTCTCTGGTCACATTAAAATGAATAAAATTGGGGGCCAGCAGGTGACATGGTGGTTAAGGGTGCTGGACTCCCACGTAGCTGACTGTGGTTCAAGTCCTGGACTTGGCAGCTTGCTTTCTCACTTTCCCTCTCTCTCTCTCTCTCTGTCCCTCTCTGGTCAAATTAAAATAAATAAAGTTCAATCAAATAATTCTTTGAAAAAGAAAAAACCCCACCAGGTGTGTGTGCGCGCACAAGAACCCTATGGAATTGGAAGTGGAAGAAAAGGTATTGTAGCAACCAGCAGTTAGCGTCATGGCTATGTCGCTGGACTCCCATGTAGTCGACCGCAATTCGAGTCCCAGACCCGGTGGCTTAAACTCACGCTGGGCGCGTGTGCGTGCGTGCCCAAGATCCCGAGAGGAGAATGGAGGAGAAGGGATTGCGGCGTGGCCATCCCCCCTGGGGGGTGATTTCTCACTTTCTGTCTCTCTGTCTCTCTCTCTCTCTCTGTCTCTCGTACCTGTGCCCACTGGCTTATAAACAAACAAAACAGGTGAGACATTGCTTAGAACTTTGAGTGTGGAGACCAACACTGGTTTATTTATTTTAATTTGACCAGAAAGAAAGAAAGAGAGAGAGAGAGAGAGAGAAAGCCACCCCATCCACACAGATTCCGACAGGAAGGGGGAATGGAGAAGGGACTATGGGGTGACCATGCCCCACTAGGGGATTCTCTCTCTCTCTCTCTCTCTCAATTCTTTATAAAATAAATGAATGAACGAAGGAAAGAATTTAAAAGTTGAGCAATTCCCGTCTGGAGCACCCTGGAGGGATTTCCAGCTGGGGAGAGTGGTGCAATTGCGCCACCTTCTGGGCAAGGCAGGAACAGGAGGGGAGGGTGGGGACCGGAAAAAGATTCTGTGATGTGATTTGGACTTTTGAACCATGTCCATGTTTCATAAAATTTTTTTTTAAGAGTTTTTTTTTTCTTCTTTCTTTTCTTTTCTTTTCTTTTCTTTTTTTTTTTTGCTAAAGCAAGACAGAAAGCGAGAAATCAGCCCCCAGGGGGGATGGCCACGCCGCAATCCCTTCTCCACCATTCTCCTCTCGGGATCTTGGGCATGCACGCACACGCGCCCGGCGTGAGTTTAAGCCACCAGGTCTGGGATTCGAACCGTGGTCGACTACATGGGAGTCCAGCGACATAGCCACGACACTAACTGCTGGTCCCTATTTTCTTATTTTTTAAAATTTGACCAGAGAAGGAGAGAGAGAGAGAGAGAGTAAGTGAGAAACCAAAACCAAGCCACCAGGTCCAGGACTTGAACCGTGGTCAGCCATGTGGGAGTCTCGCACCCTTAACCACCACGCCACCTGTCAGCCCCACTAAATAAATCATTCTTTTTTTTCTTTTTTAAAAAATTTTTTAAATTTATTCATTTATTTATTTCAATTTGACCAGAGCGAGACAGAAACAGAGAGAGAGAGAAACCAAGCACCCCCCCGCGCCAGGACTTGAACCCTGGTCAGTCATGTGGGAGTCTCGCACCCCTAACCATCATGCCCCCTGTTGGCCCCATTAAATAAATAATTCTTGAAAAAAAAAAAAAAAAAGTAAAATACATATGGGCCCAGTGGTGGCATAGTGGTTAAGGCTGCTGGATCCCACATGACTGACCGTGCAGTTCAGTCCCTGGACCCGGCAGCTTGAAAAATCATACCAGGTGCATGCGTATGCGCGCCCAAAATCCTGAAAGGAAACTGCAAGAAAAGGTTTGGCGACATGACCCTCTCCCCTAGGATACTTTCACTTTCTCTCCCCACTCTGTGTCTCTCTGGCAAGCACACACACCCTATATCAAAAACAAACAAACAAAAAACCCCAAAAAACAGAAGGAGCAGTGGTTGGTGTGATGGTTAAGGAGACCACGGTTCGAGACCTGGACCTGGCGGCTTGCTTTCTCACTTTTTCTCTCTGTGTGTCTCTCTTGCTCTGGTCAAATTAAAATAAAATGAATAATTTTTTTTGAGAGGTTTTCACTATAGGGTGCGTGCGCTCACCAGACAGACAGACAGAGACAGAGAGACAGAAAGCGAGAAATCACCCCCCAGGGGGGATGGCCACGCCGCTGTCCCTTCTCCTCCATTCTCCTCTCGGGATCTTGGGCACGCACGCACACGCGCCCGGCGTGAGTTTAAGTTACCAGATCCGGGACGCGAACCGCGGTCGAGTACATGGGAGTCCAGCAACATAGCCATTACGCTAACTGCTGGTCCCAATAAATAAATAATTTTTAAAAAAACGTAAAACTAGGGGAGCTGGCAGATGGCATGGTGGTTAACGCACTGGACGCCCACATGGCTGACCATGGTTTAAGTCCTGGACCTGGTGGTTTGCTTTCTCACTTTCTCTCTCTCTCTCCCTGGTCAGATTAAAAAGAGTAATAGTGGGACCAACAGATGGTGTAATGATTCTGTCGCTGGACTCCCACATGGCTGACTGTGGTTCGAGTCCCGGACTTGAAACTCACGCTGGGCGCGTGTGCGTGCGTGCCCAAGATCCCGAGAGGAGAATGGAGGAGAAGGGATTGCGGCGTGACCATCCCCCCTGGGGGGTGATTTCTCGCTCTCTGTCTCTCTGTCTCTCTCTTTCAGGTGAGTGCATGCGCCCTATAGCAGAAACCTCTCCAAAAAATGAAGTAAATAAGTAAATGTCCTTTTTAAATTTAACACAAGTACTAATAATAAATTTTAAAAAGAATCCTTTAAAAAAATAAAAGCTATACAATGTTCTGCACTGACAGGGCCAAACCCCAAGTTGCATGCACCCCAAGCTCCACGCCGTTCTGCAAAGGCAGACAGGCTTGCCTGCTGCCCCCTGAGCCCAGGACCGGCCCTCGGGGGCTCCAGACGGGGCATTGTCTCCACCCAACCTACCTGACAAGAGACCGCGGAGCGATCGCGTCTGACCAATTCCCTTGACCCCGTGATAAAGACCCTCTTTGTTCAAGATAATTTCCTTAGCACGTCTGTCTAGACTCATGGTGGGTCGCCATTGTCTTGTCATGTCACCGTGTTCTGTGACCCGCACGGGCAGGGAGCGTGGCAGACACCCCAAAGCCAGGGGGACCTGGCCCTCAGCACCCACCTGAGTCCACCCGGTTAAAGAGAGGGACATGCAGGGGGCCCTCCGAGACTGTGGGGAGGTGGGACATGGGACAGACACGTCCCCCTTGGGAGAGGTGCTGGGGACAGCCGGTACCCTGGGCAAAGCCCACAGGGGTCTTTCTCTCTGTCCCCTCCCGATTCCCACCAGGAAGACGAGTCCCCCTTAGCTGGGGCATGAGTTCACCTAAGGCGTGAAGAGAGAAGGTCAGAAGAGAGAGATGGAGATAGAGAGAGACAGGGAGACAGAGGGGTGGAGAGAGATGTGAAGAGAGTCCTACAGAGAGAGAGTCAAATGGAGGAGAGAGATACAGAGATAGAGAGAGAAACGGGGAAACAGAGACAGAGATGAAGAGCAAAATGGAACCAAGAGGGAGAGAGACAGAGGGACAGGAGAGATGTGAAGAGAGTCCTACAGAGAGAGAGTCAAATGGAGGAGAGAGACACAGAGATATATAGAGAGAAAAACAGGGAAACAGATGAAGAGCAAGATGGAGATGAGAGAGACAGGGAGACAGAGGGATGGAGAGAGATGTGAAGAGAGCTCTACAGAAAGAGTCAAATGGAGGAGAGAGATACAGAGACAGAGAGAGAGGGAAACGGGGAAACAGAGACAGAGAGATGAAGAGCAAGATGGAAACAAGAGAGAGAGAGAGAGACAGAAGCATAGAGAGACCCTAGGGCTGACCAAGTGGTTAAGGTGCTAGACTCCTACATGGCCGACCATGGTTCGAGTCCTGGACCTGGAGGTTTGCTTTCTTGCTTTCCCTCTCTCTCTGTCTCTTCCTAGTCAAATGAACTCACCGTAATAATGAATAAAATGGAATAAAATAATTATTAGAAAAAAAAAGCAAAGCAGCAGCACAGAGAGGCCAGAAACAGACCGAGTAAGAATCAGGAAGAGGCGGGCCGGCTGGGGTCATGCTGGTGATGGTGGCTGGATGTAGCGGATTCTGTGGTTCAAATCCCAGACCCGGCGGTTTAAGAAACATGCCAGGGAGGGAATCAGCAGTTAGTGTAATGGCTATGTCGCTGGACTCCCACGTAGTCGACCGCGGTTCGAATCCCGGACCTGGTGGCTTAAACTCACGCCGGGCGCGTGTGCGTGCGTGCCCAAGATCCCGAGAGGAGAATGGAGGAGAAGGGATTGCGGCGTGGCCATCCCCCCTGGGGAGTGATTTCTCGCTTTCTGTCTCTCTGTCTCTCTCTGTCTTTCTGGTGAGCGCACACGCCCTGTAGCAAAAACCTCTCTCTAAGAAAAAAGAAAGAAAAAAAAGAGGAATGAATAAATAAAAGATTAAAAAAAAAAAAAAAAAACTGCATTATGAAGTAACTACGAAACCACAATGATCCTCCTCGGGCGCAGCTCACAGACTGTAAACGGTGCTACTGTCTCTCTGCAGTCCCCAGCACCCCACCGCACATTTTCTTTAAAGACCTGACCTCTCCGGAAGTGACACTTTTTTTCTGTTATAGGGCGCATGTACTGGACAAAGACAGACAGACAGACAGAGAAAGTCAGAAATCACCCCACAGCAGCTGATGGCTTGCTTTTTCACTTAATCTCTCTCTCTCTCGGCGTTTAATCTTTTTTTTTTTTTTGCTATAGGGTGCGTGCACTTGCTAGACAGACAGAGAGAGACAGAGAGACAGAAAGCGAGAAATCACCCCCCAGGGGGGATGGCCACGCCGCAATCCCTTCTCCTCCATTCCCCTCTCGGGATCTTGGGCACGCACGCACACGCGCCCGGTGTGAGTTTGAAGCCACCAGGTCCGGGACGCAAACCACGGTCAACTACATGGGAGTCTAGCGATATAGCCATTACGCTAAGTGCTGGTCCCTTTATTTATTTATTTTAGAGAGATTTTTTGCTATAGGGTGCATGGGCTTGCCAGAGAGACAGAGAGACAGACAGAAAGCAAGAAATCAGCCCCTAGGTGGGATGACTATACCACAATCCCTTCTCCTCCATTCTCCACTTGGGATTTTGGGCACGCATGCACACGCACCCAGTGTGAGCTTTAAGCCGCCGGGTCTGGGACTTGAACCACGGTCAACTACATGGGAGTCCAGTAATATAACCATTACGCTGACTGCTGGTCCTGGAGATATATTATTTTTTAAAATTTTTAAAGAATTATTTTATTGGGAACCAGCAGTTAGCGTAATGGCTATGTCGCTGGATTCCCAAGTAGTCGACCGCGGTTCGCGCCCCGGACCTGGTGGCTTAAAACTCACGCCGGACGCATGTGCGTGTGTGCCCAAGATCCCGAGAGGAGAATGGAGGAGAAGGGATTGCGGCGTGACCATCCCCCCTGGGGGGGTGATTTCTCACTTTCTGTCTCTGTCTCTCTCTCTGTCTGTCTGGAGAGCGCATGCGCCCTATAGCAAAAAACCTCCCAAAAAAAAAAAAAGAATTATTTTATTTTAACTTAACTTACTTATTTCATTTGACCAGAGAGGGACAGAGTGAAAGAGAGGGAAACTGAGAAAGGAAGCCACCAGGTCTGGGACTCGAACCGCAGTCGACCACGTGGGAGTAGAGCGCCCCTAACCACCATGCCTCCTGCCAGCCTTCTGGAGACCCTTTTTATAAAAAAAATTATTTATTAAATTTTATTTATTAATTTACTTTTAATTTGACAGAGAGAGACAGAGAGAGAGAGAGAAAGAGGGGAAGTGAGAAAGCAAGCCATCAGGTCCGGGACTTGAACCGTGGTCAGCCATGTGGGAGTGTCCAGTACCTTAACCACCACGCCACCAGCTGGCCCCCTGAAGACACCTTATGAACAGACAAACCTGCTTTGATCCAGGGCAACGCCAAGTGAGCCCCTCAGTGGAGATCTCACAGATTCTGAGCTTCACAGAAGACGTGAGACTCAAAAGCAGGCTGGTCCTGTGACCTCACTTATGACAAGTTTTAGAACAGGCAAAAACTCACCTAGTGGTGGGGCCAGCAGGTGGTCTAGCGGTTAAGGTGCTGGACTCCCCACATGGCCAACCACGGTTCGAGTCCCAGGCCCAGATCGGATACGTGTGCATGCGTGCTTGAAATTCCAGAGGAGAATGCGGGAGAAGGAATTGCCTTAAAAAATAAACAAACAGGGCTGGCAGGTGACATGGCGGTTAAGGGTGCAGGCCTCCCACATGGCCAACGATGGTTCGAGTCCCGGACCTGGTGGCTTCCTTTCTCACTTTCCCTCTCTCCTGCTCTCTCTGGCCAAAGTAAAGAATAATAGTGATAATAAAAATTAAATAAACAAACTAAGTAATTCTTTTACAAAAAGAAAAAAAAATCCTGGGACCAGCAGTTAACGTCATGGCTATGTTGCTGGAATCCCATGTAGTCGACCACGGTTCGAGTCCCGGACCCGGTGGCTTAAACTCACGCCGGGCGCGTGTGCGTGCGTGCCCAAGATCCCGAGAGGGGAATGGAGGAGAAGGGATTGCAGTGTGGCCATCCCCCCTGGGGGGTGATTTCTCGCTTTCTGTCTCTATGTCTCTCTCTGTCTGTCTGGTGAGCACATGCGCCCTATAGCAAAAACCTCTAAAACAAAACAAAAACAAAAACAACACACAGAAAAAAAAAAAAAAATCCTTACCTAGTGGTATAAAAGCCAGCAGAAACATTTACTTCTGGGGGAGAGAGGGAGAAATAACAGGAAAGGAGGGTTGAGGTTTCTGAAGATTGAGAGAATGTTCTAGAATTTGCTGCAGACTTGGGGGTACACATATGTCAATTTCATTGACTACATAGGTCCACACAGTACACGTAAATTAGACTTTGCCTTAACTTCCATGCCACCTGCTGGCTCTTGTTTTTCTGTTTTGTTTTGTTTTTTAAATGGGAAACAATCAGATCTGAGCAAATTGGCCACTTTTTAGCCGGGAAATAGCAGTTTCCTCCTTTGCTAGCTTCCTAACCTACAGGACAAAAAGTGCAAAACAGAAACTTCGAGGTCTGGAGGTCTGGACGGGGGGACAAGGGGAGTTTCCCCTTTGAGCCAGCAGATGAAAGGGATTTCCAAAAATTGTTTAATTGATTTTTCTCCTATTTAGATGCAGATTACAGTGTCTGGGGCCCCGGGAATTTAGACACTTAGGCAATTGTGTCCTCCCAAGTCCTGGGAAGTCTCTTGTCTGAAACCTGTACAAAGCCAGACACGCACGTCCTCAGAAACACGCTGTTTCTTTGTCTAGTGGTTCGGGGCGGGGGGGGAGCGGGTACACAGGCGAGAGCCTCTGACACGCTCCCATCTGCAGGGTCCCGGGATACCATCCCTCGGACCCGCTTGCAAAGTGAAGTGAGGAGGAAAAAAAGAAAAAAGAGTATGAACAAGCAACAGTCCCGACTTGGAGATCTGGAGTGGAAGTGATAAAAAAAAAAAAAAGAAAAAGAAAAAGAAAGAAAAACACAGAACTAGCTGGAGGGGGATGCATGGACGTTTCTAGTTCAAATTTTCTTGTACTAACATCGGATATCCCCAAATCCAGTCCTCTGAGACAGGGAGGGGATCCTTTGCATGGGGCAGCTAATGGGTTAGGATTTAACAGAAGTTGGACTCCGGCCTCTGCCAATCTGATTTATATAAGGAGAAAAACATCTCTCTCTTTCTCTTGGTCATTGTTCCCCAGTTCATCCCTCCAAATGGCCCATCTGGCACCAAAAAGAAAAAAAAAAAAAAAACAGCCGTGGGAAGGTTTTGTAGATTTGTCAGTGTGCTCAGGAAAGAACCCCCAACATCCTCAATATAGAAATTTTCTCTCCCCCAGCTGCCAGGAGGGGATAGCAAGGATCACACCATCTCCTCTTGCAGGGTTAACTAAAACACTGCCCCCCCAATATTTCTGCATCTTCCCTCCAAACTTGGGGAGCACCTGCTGCAAACAATCAGGACATTGGACAGCCAATCCGAGTTCCCGGTTTGTCTGGAAGTCAGTGGAAAAGATTTTTGATAAAAAGGAGAGAGATTGAGGGGTTGGCAGGTGGTGTGGTGGTTAAGGGTGGTGGATTCCCACATGGCCGACCGCAGTTCTAGTCCCGGACCTGGTGACTTGCTTTCTCACTTTCTCTTTCTTACTCTCGCTCTGTCCTTCTCTGGTCAAATTAAAATAAAGAAAGGAAGTTAAATAAGATCATTCTTAAAAAAAAAAAAAAAAAAAAGGAGAAAGATCTAGGTCAGCCAGTGGCATGGTGTTATGGTACTTGATCCAACACGGCCAACTGCCTGGTTCAAGTCCTGGACCCGGCAGTTTGAAAAACACAACAGGCACCTGTGTGTGCATGCCCAAAATCCTGAAAAAACGGGGAAAATAGAGAAGAATCAATGTGACCTTTCCCCACAGGGTTCCCTCTCCTTCTGTCTCTGTACATACTCTCTGAGAAATTTAAAAAAGAGAGAAAAATGAGGCTGTCAGGTGGCATGGTGGTTGAGGTACTAGACTCCCACATGGCTCACTGCAGTTCGAGTCTTGGACCTGGTGTCTTGTTTTCTTACTATCTCTTTCTGGGCAAATTTACAAGTAATAATAAATAAATAAACTTAAGTAAATCATTCTTTAAAAAAAATGTAAAAAGAGAGAAGGACCAGAAGATGGCAAAATTCCATTGCCTGACTCCCATGGAGTCGACCGCTGGAGGAGAAGGGATTGCGGTGTGACCATCCCCCCTGGGCGGTGATTTCTTGCTTTCTGTCTCTCTGGTGAGCACATGAGCCCTATAGCAAAAATCTCTATCACAAAAAAGAAAAAAGAGAGAGAGAGAAAAAAAAAATGATCCCACAAATAGATGATACTTAGGTCAAATGACACGCCAGTTTCATTTAAGCAACCATCTCCTGGAAACCGTACTGCCAACTACATCCACTCCTGGGGCCCTCAAGCATGTTGTTTTTAATTGACTTTCTTTCTTTTTTTTTTTTTTTTTTTTTTTTTAGAGAGAAAGATTTCTGGTATAGGATGCCTGTGCTTGCCGAAGAGACAGAGACAGAGAGACAGAAATCACCTCCCAGGGGGATGGCCACGCCACAATCCCTTCTCCTCCATTCTCCTCTCGGGATCTTGGGTACGCACGCACACGCACCCGGCGTGAGTTTAAACCACCGGGTCCGGGACTCGAACCGCAGTCGACTACGTGGGAGTCCAGCGACACAGCCATGACGCTAACTGCTGGTTCCAATAGATGGATGAGGTTTCAACATGGGTCGTCAGAAAAGCCAGGCCATGGTTCTCTGTTTTCCTATGTAAAAATGCATCATGACTTTTCCAATGACTCAATATTTCCCAGAAGGAGACTTTCTTGGTCAGCCCTTTCCGGAGGAAGCCCAGCTCCCAGCCCGATCCTCACCCTCTCGGTCTGAGTTACCTGAACTGCAATCCAGCTAGCATTCACTGTGTGTTCCCCAAAAGGGCCGAACCCTGAAAACAAACAGGAAAAGCAACACGTCACCACACAATGACCCTCTCTCTTGCTTTTTTTTTTTTTTTTTTTTTGAGAGAGAGATGTTTGTCATAGAGGGCGTATGCTCGCTGGAGAGACAGAGAGAGACAGAGAGACAGAAAGTGAGAAATCACCCCCAGGGGGGATGGCCACACCACAATCCTTTCTCCTCCCTTCTCCTCTCGGGATCCTGGGCACGCATGCACACGCGCCCGGCGTGAGTTTCAAGCCTCCGGGTCTGGGACTTGAACTGTGGTCGGCCATGTGGGAGTCCAGCGATGTAGCCATTACGCTAACTGCTGGTCCCATCCATTGACCTTCTCTAGCCTGTCCCGGACCAGGCTGCTGCTTCTGTTCAGGAGAAGCAGGGAGCTGTCTGTGAGGGTAGCTGCCACTGGGGGTGCTGGTCCTGAGTTCTGGGGTGCACCCAGTGGCTCTGTAGACCTTCCTTTCCATCTTCCCTCAGCTAAAGACTATGGGTGCATCCTTCCCAGTGGACACCCCTTCCTGACTGGTCTTTTACCCCAGAAAAGGCTCGTCCTCCATCGCCCTGGACCAACCTATCATTTTCTCTTTTTAATTATTTTTTTGGGAGAGATTTTTGCTATAGGGCGCGTGCGCTCGCCAGACAGACAGAGAGAGACAGAGAGACAGAAAGCGAGAAATCACCCCCCAGGGGGGATGGCCACGCCGCAATCCCTTCTCCTCCATTCTCCTCTCGGGATCTTGGGCATGCACGCACACGCACCCGGCGTGAGTTTAAGCCACCGGGTCCGGGATTCGAACCGCGGTCGACTACGTGGGAATCCAGTGACATAGCCATTACGCTAACTGCTGGTCCCCCCCCTCCCCAATCTATTATTATTTTATCACTGTCTTTGCGGAAGGCCACTCTCCCCCAAAGCCCAGATTCTGGAAACGCTGTGAAAAATGGCCCTCCAGGGAGGAATGTGGGTGTTTCTCAGGCCAGGAGACCCAGACACCAACCCTCATCACTTCTCCCTGCTCTCTCCTTCCGCCTCACGGCATCCCTTTTCAGGCAAAGGGGTGTCCTAAGCCTAATTTACTGGCGCCGGGACTAAGGCACAGAGACGCCAAGCCAGCTGCCCAAGGTCACACAGCAAAAAGGTGCTAGACTGGAATTCAAACGCAGACCCGTGAGAGTCCACAGATACAGCCTCCCGCTTCTGATGACTAGGTCATATTTCTTAAATAAATAAATAAATAAATAAACAAACAAACATAGAAGGACCAGCAGTGGGCATAATGGCTAG